AGTATAAATAGACCTCAAACAAGAGTTTGAGATCATATTTTTGCACCAAACCCTAGCCGCCCAAACCCTATCCGCTCATCCCCTTCGGCCGTTGCTTCCCCGCCGCGCCACCGCCGATCACCGCCGGAAAACCGCCGGTTTTCTCCTCTCGTCTCCTTCGTTTTATTCTTGTTGTTTATCTAACTCGTTTACATCTAGTGCTGTAGTTCAAGTGGGTCAAAAATACGAGGTGAAATCTAATTGGAGAGGAGCTGCTGCCCCGACGAATCCACGCACCGCCGCTGCACCGCCGCAAGGGTCGTTACGCCGCCCACGCGCCGCCGCTGCTGCTGCCACGCGCCGCCGTTCGTCGCTTGCTGGATCAGCTTGTTCCAGCCGTGAAATGCAGCCCCGAGGATTGGTAATTTGCAGCTTGTACGTGATTTGTTCTAGGTTTCGATTCGTCGAAATCTCACGCTACAAGAGGTAAATAAATCGAAACTTTCGTTAATTAATTCGAGCATGTTTGTATGAATTATAATTTATGATTATGAGTAATATGTGATTACGTGTTTCGATTTTATTGAATGATGAACAAGCATGTTTCGTATGTAACAGCCCGCATTTTCATAAGCATTTATATATGATTATATTGAACATATAGTAAATACGAATATACGTGCATTTCATGAATCGAGTAGCAATTTATACGCTCTCTATGTGTTTATGTGATTTAGATACATTATAGTATTTTTAGAAGTAGGCATTATTATTAATTGAGTAGTTGATTCTAATTATGTGATTTAATGAATTATGTGCTTTAGTCCATGGATTTTAATGATGTGCTTTAGTTGATAATTAATCTATTAGGATAATATGAGATTTAATAAGTTGTGACATGATAACTAATTTCTATTTGGCCTCATATTGAATTTATGTGCATTATATGGGTTAATGCTAATAATTAATAGTTATGTGACCGTATGTTTTGTGTGTGTGAATTATTCCCTAAGTGTATTAATTACTAAAGACTCCCCTCTTCTCTTCTATATTGCTAAGGAGCCCCCAAGGTATTTTTCTCCCAAATTGCTAATAAAACCCCAATGTCTTTTATATTGCAAACAAGGGCCTCATCTCCCCTATAAATAAACCCCTCCTCTTCACATTTTCTTCACACCAAAACATCAGCCAAAAGGCCCTCTCCTCTCCCTCTCCTCTCCCTCTCCATCGAGCAAAAACAGCCCCAAAGAAGAATTCTCTTCTTCAATTCTATCACCCCATCAAAGCCCCTCTCTTCAATTCCTCTCCAAGAGAAACTCCCTCCTCTTCAATTCTGCTAAAAATCTTCAAGAAACAGCCCCTTCACATCCTTCAAACTCAGCCCCAAAGCCATCCAAGAACATTCAAGCCAAACCCGCCGAAAATCCACCGAGCATTTGGTTTTCTTACTCCTTCATCTTCGATTTCTTGCTCTTGGGTAAGGACCTTGGTCTTTACTGAAATAATAACCTAATTAATATAAATTATATGTGTTTTAATGAATTATATGTTTGAGGTTTTAATTTTGAGCTTCAGAAGATAAAGTTCTTGATGAACACTACTTGAATTTCAGTTTCGTAGCTTCTGATTGTATTGCATGTCTCATCAGGTAATCCCTAAGATAAAATTATGAAATTTGGTGGTAGTCTAGATCTTTCGGCTAGCTTCATGTTGATATAAATTATGCATAAATCGGATTTGTAATGAGTGAGTTATGAATCGTTTTCCGAATCTGCACAGTTTCGGAGTCATCCACGAATTATGTGTTAAATAGCGTTTTATACTAATCTTATTTAGTTGATTCAACTTAAATATGATTGTAAACTTATGAAACTGACTTTCCACAAAATTTGGTAGTTTTTAAGTAAAGGTATGAATTAATTGGTATTTTTAAAGTTAGTGGATCTGTTCTGAATTTATGCTTATGTTACTGCACTAAATTGATTATATCTCGTACATAGATAAGTTTCTTCATAAACTGTTTTAACCCTATAAACGAGACTTAGATATGAACATTTTTTCCAAATTTCATCAGGTTTGGATCTACGGTTTAGGAGATATGAATTTCTGAAGTTATAGTGCCTAAACTGCCAGATCTGTTTTGATCAAAGATGTAGATATAGATCACTAATGAATTTTCAGGTTCTCAGCCTCGGAGTTTAATGCATGTTTCACAGATGCCATGTTTTCATAAAATCACGAAATTTCATGAGTAACTAGATCTTTCTGTCTTCTTTAAATTGATATATTTTAATCATCAATCGGATTTGAGATGATTAAGATATGAATTATTTACTAAACCGGCATAGTTTTTGAGTCAGCTGAGGATTTGCTTTTAAAATCAATGTTTTCCTAGTTTGATTTCCTTGATTCCACTTGGACTATATTTATAACTCATAAAACCAGTTTTCTGCAAAGTCCTACATTGTTTTAACAAAAGGGTGATTTATTGGGTATTTTCAAAGTGGTTGGTTCTGTTTCTGAAAGTGTGACCACACTCCTGCACTCTTTTACTCATTTCTCTTAGTCTACTAGTTATTTTGGAAAACTGTTTTAAAGGAGTCTTTTAGACTCATACAGGAGTATTGTGTCAAAGTTTCAGGATTTTTGAAGTTATGGTCTAAGAGAAATGTATTTTCAAAGTTAAGGTGTCAAAACTGCCCGATTTTCCTAAAAACGAATTTCTTTGAATTAAAGGGGTCCTTTGTGAGCATGATTTAAACTCTTGAGACATGATTTAATATGGTAATGAATATATATTATGATGTTACATCTAGAGAACCATTATTAGAGTACTTATAAGTAAGATACAAAGACTAGTATATATTTAGAACTATAAGTTATTCTTGAAACTTTCTATGTCCTAGTACTTCTACTAGATTTGATTTTCTATAGTCCTTTGAATAATAGGTATTATGTGAAATATTGAAATTCATGATGATTATTTGAATAGTGTGTTTTACTCTTATGAGGTATAAGTATGTATATATAAAAGTATATGTATATGTATATCGATAGTTTAGACCTATGATGTTATAGGCGTACTCCCTTCGGGTTGAGGAAACTTATAGCCCATAGTTATAAATTAGAGTATATACGTATATGTATAAATATATATATACGTATAAGTACCTATGTGTATATACGTGTAAAAGTATATGTGTTTTTATTACTAATGTTTGATCTATATGTGCTTACTATTGTTCCGGAATTTGCTTCCGAATTTTATGATTTGATTATCAAGTTATGTGATTTAACTCATTCGAATTATGTGAATGACATACTTGGAATTACTACTGTTTATTTGAATGGTGCATTAAGATCTTCAAATTATGTGCATTCTTCGAGTCATTAATTGGTATCGCACGGTCTAGTATAGAAGAGTCAAAACGGTAACGTTGCTCCGATGAATAGACACGGGATACGGCGGGCCGGTATCCCAAAACGACAAGTTACTATAGACTGCAGGGTGGGTAGCTCTCACCAAAGAACGGGCTCAGTATAAAAATGTCTATTGTCGATGCTTACGTTAGGGTTTTGATAGGGATCCTGTCATACGCATCTACGCATAAAAATAAAAAAAGATTTTGGAAGAAAAATGATTTTCTTTTAAAAGAAATTCCGTTTTGTTTAAAAAGGGGAACTTCGCTCAAAGAGACTTTATGCCTAAATTGGATTCCCAAGTAAATTATGAATTAATTTACATGAATTATTCCCACAATGATTTTCAAGTAGTTTTCGAAACAAAACCATACTTTTGTTATAATGCTCTCGATTTCAAGAAAAATATGTTATGTGCTTATATGTGTAATTATATGCTTGAATATGTGTGACGTGTTTGTAGAGATAACATAATTAGTTGGAAAGGACATAGACGAATACTTTAGGACTCCCATAGGTCGTGAGTGACACGTTGAGAGAGGCGTGAGTTCGTCAGACTAAGACTAATGTCCTTACTGAGCCAGTGTTTGGGCTCATGCTTTTATGCAAATTATCTTTTCAGGTTCTCCAAGCTATGTAGGAGGCCGGCGGAGAGGAGTTCGAGGAATCACGAGCTTTGGTGCCTAGATCATTTTACTCGTATTTTCTACGCAACGTTTTATCAAAAAACTAATCACATAGTATAATTTTATTTTGTACTCTGATTGGAACCCGGTCTATTAAACGGGGGTATCTTAAATAAAGTTTATTTCCTTCCGCTGTCTTACGAGTGTTTTTTAAACCCCGGTAATGTTTTATGTGGATTATTCCGCCACCTCGAGATTGTTTTCAAAATCCCGTTCATGTTATGGTACACTCTCTATGAAAAATCTTATTTTCCGATTGTGGGTTAGATTTGAAGTAAAGGGAAATGGTTACAAAATTTTAAAGTGGTTTTTCTCAAAGTTCAAATTTGTTCCAAAAGTTTTTAATAAAGTCCGTATTTCTAAAATTTCTTTTAAATCATTGAGGGTGCTACATCGTAATTTTCGGTTTTACGTGTTTTTCAATTAAATCGATAATTACCATATGTATGGCGGAAGAGTTAAGGTACGTTGACTATGTGATTAGTTTTTGCATGTAATCGAAACTAGTTCGATCTAAAATTTTTAAATTCGGCTGCGTATACATGCACGATCCCCAACAAGAATATGTCCCCATCCACACATATTAAACTTATACTGTGACTTCTATCCCTCTATTCTTCTTCTTTCTTTTCCTACTAACAAGTGTTAGCGAATGCAATGCACGTCATGTATCCATACTACAATAATAAATAAAAATATTCTAACCTGTCAAATAGTCTCCACAGTCTCAGACTCTCCACTAGTCTCGCTAGTCTGGTGTGTACGGAAGATCACGTACACTACAATCTAGCATATACCTAAAACTAATCCGATAATGTTCGGAATCCGTATTAATGAAAAAAAAAGTTTTATTAGAAAATAATTACTAATTATTTAGTTTTTAATTAGATGTAATGTTGATTAGGATTTACATACCCAGGTATTGGCATCTCCTTTGGCAAAACCATAGATGCCCCAAATGACAGCATTACCTGTTAGGACGCACGTCAGTGTGATAGGTATACCGTACACACTGTGTGTCCTAACAGCTCTAACCTATAATATAAAAAAAAATGGTATAAAAAAAAATTATATAAATTAAATTAAATTAAATTTAGAGTTACGAACTCTATTTAATATTAATCTTAACACGGTGCCTATAGTCGATGAATAGACTAAGATGGATGATCCAAAGCATATCCACCCAATGACCATAATCCTCAAGTCACCATTCACGTAAAACGTGATAGTGCAAAATAATCCAAAGAGAATACCAGAGACTGATAGTAACAATCTACAAAATCATTTTTTTAACTATTAGTGATGTCTTAAATAAGTATTACTTTTAATATTTTTGTAAGTATTAAGAAGAATTTGGAAATCTACTCGATCATAGTCCCCCGAGTAGTAGAAAAATATGACGACGTACGCCATCTCGATCATGCAGCCAATGTTGTTAATGATAACTAACGTGATTGCGTTTAACCTAATCGCACCGTAATAGAGCCAGATGGCCGATGCAAATAGGGCAACGGTGTACGGAATCACCGTGTACCCTACCGTCGATTTCACGTCGCGGATTTTTCTAAATGTATACCTACAAAAATTTGTAACTAACTTTTAGCTTTTTATTTTTTTTTATTAATTATTGGTTAAATATGATCAAAATAAATATTTTGTTGTAAGGATTAAAATGCACACTTTTGTTGTGTGGGAGATAATGTTTTTATATTACTTTATGTTAAGGATATACTTTATTAATTGTATTGCTCACATAGATAAAGATATGTCTATTTCGGCATAAACAGACTAAGTCGTAACAAATTGGATTTAATTTTATGGCTTTTCTGAGCCATAAGTTATATGTCCAATTTGAAAAAAAAAAATGACAAAATTTCCTTTTTTGTTTTGGAAGTGTACCTTTTTTTTCATACTTCCATTTTGATTCTAAATTTCGAAACTCTCAGGATCTAAATATTTCACCCGTGCTTCTTTGTAAATTATATAGAAAATTTACGAAACAATAGGATTACATAATAATGCTAAGATTATAATTAGAGATTTTGGGAATAATTCAGAAATATTGGAAAATTATTTCAGAATTTGTGGGAATTAAAAATATAATTCCGGTCCCAATCAAAAACAATATTGGAATTTTTCACCAGTGATTCTTCGAAAATGATATAGAAAATGTACAATATTCCCAAAACAATAGAACTACATAATAATACTAATATTATAATTAAAATTTTCGGGAATAACTCAGAAATATTGGAAAATTATTTCGTATTGTTGTATGTCATCATTTCTGGGAACCAAAAATATAATTACGGTCCAGATCTAAAACAAAAATTGGAGTTTTGTAAATGAAATGAATTATCACTAAAGTAGGCTAACACAAATTCGCAATTTAACATACTAAACTATAACAAAATAAAATAACAAATATTAACTATCACTAAAGTAGACTAACATAAATATATTTCGCAAATTAACAAACTAAACTATAAAATATTAATTACACAAAAAAAAAAGAAAAAAACAAAGAGAAAGAGAGGGAGACGTACACTAGAGCCAGGTAAATCGCAAGAGAGATTACAATACCTAAGATCCCAAAAGCGAACGCAATACCCGCCATTATGATGCTACGGCAAATAAAGCTAGGACTGAAAATAACAAAACAGAAATGAATGAATTAATGTATGACAAATACGCAT